CATGGTTAGAGAGCTCGCCTCAGGATCGAGCGGTCCTGGTTCGAGGTCTGACTGGCGACATTGCGTTGTGTTCTTGGGCAAGACACTTTTTCCTCACAATGCCTCTCTCCACCCAGGTGTGTAATTGGGTACCGGCGAATTTAATGCTAACGGTAACCTGCGATGGACTAGCATCCCATCCAGGGAGGGGTAGAAAAATTACTAGTCGCTCAGTTCATGTTAAAGAAACCGCAGATAAGCACCGGCCTGATGGACTACTTGGCTCGTATGTAGACTTTTAATATAAAAGTTAGTACCTTGTTCTTTTCGTTTTAAAGGTCATGGTGGACGGGATCAATTTAAAAACATTGAATCTTCAAGAAGCCAGACGGACATTCTCTGTAATAACTCAGAATCCTATTCTATTTGCCGGAAGCCTAAGACGGAACTTGGATCCTTTCAACAAACACACGGACCATGAGTTATGGATCGCGCTGGAAGACGTCCAAATGAAGCACTGGGTACTGCAGTTACCAGGCCACCTGCACTACAAACTGATAGAATATGGGAACAACCTAAGCGTCGGTGAGAGACAGTTAGTCTGCCTAGCACGTGGTCTCTTACAGAACAACAAGATTGTCATCCTGGATGAAGCAACTGCTAACGTAGATTTCAAGACGGATCGTCTGATCCAAGAGGTCATACGAACCAAATTCAAAAATGTTACAGTGTTAACTATTGCTCATAGACTGGACACCATCATAGACTATGATAGGGTCATGGTGTTGGACAGAGGCAGTGTGGTCGAGTTCGACAAACCAAGTGCTCTTTTAAACAAGAGAGGGAGTTACTTTGCTGATCTAGTCAAGAGCTACAATACAACTGTGTCTTCATAAAATATTAACTTATTGACTGCTGTAGATGCGAACTGCTCTCGCAGTGACCACCTTCCGTTTACAAACACGACAATAGTTATCACTTATGGTTTGGAATTTTTCCTATAACGTCGCCTCACTACGGGACTAGGGGGACCCTTAGTTGAGAGCTGGCTAGGGAAAAATAATAGTGGTGGGGGTAGGGCTAGGGCCAATTCGGTAATTATATATTATGAGATACCTAACAATCCTGATACCATGCAAAACTCGGATAAAGTTTGTTGTCTCGATGGTACCCAATTGAAATGTTCGCGAGTGACTCCTGGCTCATCATGACACTGGAAATTGCGCTGGAAGCACTGAAATCTTCTTCATGAAGCTTTCTCAAAAGACTTGAGGCGTTTACGAACTCATGCTATCAACGTACCTTGCCAGCGACCACTTGGGCTAGGCATTTCAGTTGACCGCACATGGGGGTGGTCGCTTATGAGAAGTTAAACCACCGGGGTCTAAATTTTGACTGATAGATCCCCTGGTGACAAATATATTGAAACAAGCGACAAAGGGGAACGACTCGTGTCATCTTAGCACCATTTTCGCGTAAAATGTGAAGAGTAACAGAAAATCAATAAAGATATACTAAAGTTCAAAGTGTGAAATATAATATAAATTCATTTTAATGAAGGTATAATTAAAAGAATTGTTTAGTATTCCTATTGCAGTTATGTGTTGATTGTGCCACAGTTTGTTTCTGAGTTTAGGTAAAATAAATATAATAAAAAAAAGAACTGTGCTATACACTATATAAAAGGTCGTCAATACCAAAATAAATGGNGTGTCATTAATATTGAGTTGTTGAAGAAAAGAGAATCCAAGAGGTCGACAAATCGCTTGAAACAACACCGACATTTTCTTGAGTCTTCAGACGAAGGAGATTTGTGAACAATTTCAGTGAAGCGTGAAGCACGCTTTTGTCACTCGCTAAGTTTTTGATGGTTTTGACATATTTTTGACAACTTTATGTCAACTTTCTGTTGGTTTTTTAAACAGGTTAGCCAATCCCGTTAGCGTGAATTGTAATTGGGGACTTACATAAAAAAAAAAATGAGAAAATAAGTCGTGTTTTTCGATTAATTGTGAGTTTCTTGTTCGACGCGAAGAAATAAATGGCACGTTTTTATTGTAGAATCTTAATTGTAGTTGTTCCGCGCGCGGCCGTCTGATGTTGTGTAATTGCGTCTTTTTTAGGCCGTTTCAAGCTGCGCTCGGTCCGTACGTCCTGACCGAGAGCCAAATATTTTCCCGTTCGGCCCAACCTAACTCACTCAATAAGTATATAATCCTCATTAGAAGATATGATTTCAATGATATCAAGTTTGTCTCTTAAATTGTATTTAAATTCGTTGATGTATGAACGAAACATCTTCCGTTCTTCCTCGAAGCTATTCGACAATCTTCAGAAATTTTCGAAAAATGTTTGGCAACGTTTGTCTGACCTTCGGACAAGTTTTGGGCAATTTTCGGAAATCTTCGGAAAGTGTGTCGGAAAGCTTCGGAAAATCGTCACAAACGCCGTCATCAGTATGTTTATATAATACAAAGAACATTACACGTTAGCTCGAAGATATGAATTTTATGCTCTCGTGGCAAGAACAATATCTCACGAGTGCTTGTGAGATATTGTTGTTGCCACGAGAACATAAAACTCATATCTTCTAGCCACCATGTAATATCCTCCATTTATTCTCGCACCAAATGGAAGCTACTTTTTATTTATTTCACGTTATTTGATTCTCAGTCAAATGAGTGCCCAATGTAGCTCTATAATTTTAGCCAAGAAAAGTAACTAGAGATAACGACATTGTGAGCAAGGGAGGCTTATTATGAGAGGTTATTACCTAAACAGATTCGGATTCGTAAGGTCCCTGTGATGTTTTGGGGGTCACACTCTTCTCCCAAAGTGCGTTGCTTACTTCACTCTAGAGTATGATTGGGTGATTCCGAATTGTTAGTATGTAATAGCAGGACTATATATTGGGATATAAGAGGAAGGGTTAGGAGCTAATGAGTGGAGGTTGTAACCCGTGTGGGACTAGCATTTGCTGCACATATTAGGGAGTAACTATACTCCCAGTGGTTTTATACTACGGAAACTTGCGATGAGCTCCTATCCCCATCTCTACCTCCTTACCGCTACCTCATGCTGTTCCTTGCGTGACTGTAATAGATAGATTTAGGTGTACTTTATTTTCTACATACAGGTTCTTTCGCTAAAGCGGCATAGTCTGGAAGCTACATTGTCTGGAAACACTATCAACCTTGTGTCAAATGACGCACAGAAAGTAGAGCGCTCCTTGAACCAACTGGGTATGGTGTTAGCCGCACCGCTGGAACTGACGATTAGTTTGGTAATCCTGTGGTACCTGATTGGTCGGGAAGCCCTGGCTGGTGCAGCCATATTTTTCATTCTTGTCGCCTTTCAAATGTTAATGGCAAGAAAAGCTGCTAAGTTCAGAGACAAAGCAGCTGCCTTCACGGATGAACGACTCGTGGTGATGAATGAAATCATTTCTGGAATACGAGCGGTGAAGATGTATGCTTGGGAGTGGAACTTCAGAGACGCTGTTCGCGATCTTCGCAGGTACCAGGGAGAAATTAGTGATTCTGCTCTTCAACACAGTCGTAGCTTCTCACTTTAGCATAGTAAACTCTATTTAGCTTGGACTCTTCGTTTCTTTCATTTTTCCGTTCGTGAGCGTGGGAAGGGGGATGTATCTGAATGTATCTGCAAAGGTGTTCACTCAATAGTGATCAAACTACTCACCAAGTGAAACGTTACGCTCTGTAAAGCATCCGAAGTTAACTTAGAGACAATCACGAGACAGTCGTAACTTCACATATGTCAGAATGTCTGCCATCTTCCATCTACCTTAGTGGATTCAAATTTAGATTTTTACATTCTCGTCCCCAGAGCCCACGATCCTNCTGATTGGCTGAGAATACGAAACGAATACTCTGCGCATGCTCAGAAAATCGGGTCCGGCCAGAGCTCTCGATCCCTGCCGCAGGCCAGAAGGATCGTGGACTCTGGGGACGCGAATGAGACTTTAAGTTCTTTAAATAAGTTAGAACAACTACCAAACTACCAAATTGTCCAAAGCATATTTGGGAAAAGTCAAAGGTACAAGAGGTGTCAAGATTGTGGGATAAAACCGATCCAATAATTACACTAAAATGTTCTTTAACACTCTTCATGAAAAGTCACAAATGTTTACTAGTTAAGGTTGAAATGGCTGCGGGCACTTTAAACCCCTCTCACCCCCATTCTCAAGGATAAATGGGATTAAAACCCTGGGTCTACCGTACGGTATTTATGTCCATACTTATTTCATTTGCTCTTGTTGCAGGAAGGAGATGGCGATAATTCGTTTCAAAGGTCTTATCTTTTCCCTGCTTCTTGTTCTGTTCTACACTACGCTCCCTATCGCCGTTCTGATTTCAGTTGCTGCACTGGCTTTGACAGGGACTCACTTGTCATCCTTCACAATATTCACGCTTCTTTTAGGCTTAGACACTATCAAGTTTGCATTTTGTAACAGTTTGAGCATGTCCGTATACAATGTGGCTGATGCTAAAGTGGCACTCGATAGAATACAGTTCTTTCTTAAGGATAAAGCACCGGAGGTTGAAAACGGCAAGCAACATCGAACAAAACATTTGTCTTTAAAGGAGCCGTTAAATGTTGACGATAATCTTGTGTCACTGGGAAAAGGTTCTACGGAGGTAGAAATGACCGTCTGTTTGAGTGATTCAAGTGAACGAGGTGATTCTGCAAACCTAACTACTGACACATTTGCCGACGGTAGCTCGGTTTTCACGGCCAACAACATGTCTTCTGACGTGATTACCGGATTGATAACCAGTCATGAAACAAGCACGAAAGAACCGTTTGTATCAATTTCTGAAGCGTCGTGTTCTTGGAATCAAGATTCTCTCGCGGATACCTTTACATTAAGAAACGTAACTTTGAATGTATGTAAAGGTGAAATTTTAGCGATAACTGGTCCTGTAGGGAGTGGAAAATCTTCTTTACTGACAGCTGTTCTTGGAGAAATACCTGTGTGTGAAGGAACTATATCTTATTATGGTAAAGTGTCCTATGTTCCGCAAGTACCCTGGGTATTTTCGGGGACGGTAAAGGAGAATATATTATTCGGCTTGCCATTTAACGAAGAGAAGTTCCAGCAAATTGTAGATATCTGTGGTTTGACGAAGGACTTAGCGGTCTTCTCCAATGGCGACCTAACAGAAATCGGGCAGCGTGGAGCCATTCTCAGTGGAGGTCAGAAAGCCCGTGTGGGTCTAGCTCGTGCAGTGTATTCAGATGCTGATATTTACCTCCTCGATGATCCACTGAGTGCAGTCGATACTAAGGTGGGAAGAAACCTTTTCAAGAGTTGTATACTGAAGTATTTATCTGGTCACATTCGCTTGTTGGTTACCCACCAGTTGCAATATTTGAAAGATTTGGATCACATTGCTGTGATGAAAAATGGGACCATCGCGCATCAGGGGGGATACAGTGAACTTGCAGACCAAGGAGTGTTTTCCGGTATGCTAGACGTTTCTCAGCGCTTGGAAGATGACCCGGTGGGCACAAGAAGTGTTAGTCTTGACGAATTCAATAAGAGAGTTACCCCCATGCAGAAACCTCGAGCAGCTACCTCAGAGTCGCACGAAATAGGACATGATATTGAACTGCATAAACTGTTGGAGGAAGATGTTACTTCCGAAGTAGGCGTTGGATTTATGAAGGGTGCAAGTGCTCTGCGGAATACTCGTTCTCGGTCTCGTGTAAGCGAGTGTGAAGCGCCTGAGACTGATCATCGACCAGTTCTTGATTTGAAGGAAGATGAGGAAGTTAAGACGACCGGCACTGTTACTTGGCGACTTTACTGGGATTACTTTAAAGCAGGACTTCCAGTTCCTTTAATAATCCTCCTGGCATTTGTCCTGATCGTGGCGCAAGGTAACAAATCTATACAATATCCGCTAGCAGCACCGTTCTCATTCCATACCATCGATCTGTCGCTGAAATTTCAATCGAATGTTATTTCTCTCCAGCTAAGTTTACAGCCCAGCTCGGCAAGTCGCATCGCATTCAAGCAAAATATGATTTGCATTGAAAGTAATGAAAAAATGGACGAACAAAGCGAGATGCTTTTTTTTAGTTTTAGTACGTCTTTATTAATACATAAACTGTCAGCATACAAAATACAATATACAACTGCGAAGTACAACATGGATCTAATCTTAGCATAATCGTATGACAACGACCCTGTATTTTCAGTGGAGTTGGCGTGAAACCCAAACAGGCTGGTAGATCAAGTAACTGAAAAAGAAATGTCATTTCCTAGTTGTCGTTGCTTCAGAACGGCTCCTGGTTAAAAACACAGTGTTTTTCACCATAAAATGAACTTTTGTAAGTAGTAAGTAAGTAAGTAAGTAAGTACTTTAGTTAGACACATTTCACCAGTGAGCCTGGGGCTCGTTTAAATGTGAACGTGTATGCTGAAATTAAAATGTAAAATTTAAATATGTTATCTATTAAATAAAAGTACAAGAACTAGACTATAAAATTTAAAATTGAAAAAACTAGACTATAAAATTTAAAAACTAGACTATAAAAATTTAAATATGTAAACTAAGATTACAGCAACAATTGGCCTCGGTAGTCAGGGTAACGTTAACATTAACATTTAGTTTATTAAAAGTTTGAGCAATATTCATCCATGAAAATTTATATGAAAAATTGTGCATTTTCTGAAACGTTACCAAAAAATGTATTCTTGAGTATACTTATCTTTGTTTACTTCTTCAGTCTAGCTACAGTTTTCTAATCTCAATTTTCTATGGTCATAAAATCAACATTTGCTCTCTTTCGGTAAAACTATTAGAGGTAAATTCAAATGGGAAAAGTGTCAGATGTCAGTAAGATTCCGATTAGCTGAATAAGCTACTTACAGTATGATTTTTTCGTTTTTTAGTTTTCCTCGTAGGTCCAAACTGGTGGCTGTCCAGAATGGCAAAGATGCCACCAGATCAACAGAAAGCTCCAGTCACTCAAGGCATTTACACCTCTCTCGTGGTGGTGTCTATTGTTGTCATGGCAGCGTCGTGTTTCTTCTTTTACTACATCCTTCTGAAGGCAGCTGAAAACCTTCACAACAAAATGACCATATCAACAATCAAAGCCCCAGTTTTATTTTACGACAGTAACCCGGCTGGCCGCATCTTGAATCGCTTTTCCAAAGATGTAGGCTGTATGGACGACGAGTTGCCGCCGCTATTTCTGCGAGCACTTACAACCTGCCTTACCTCGTTCTGCGCCATGTTGGTTCCCGCTGCAACCAACTACTGGCTTTTCTTGGCCCTTCTTCCAATTCTTGCGACAGTGGCTTTTTATGCTCGTTACTATCTTAAGTCCTCCAGAGAGCTGAAGAGGATTGAAGCCATCAAATGCAGTCCTGTGTACTCGCACATCACGGAAACAGCGAATGGACTTGAAATAGTGCATGTTTCAAACATGAGCAGAACATTTCTTGAGAGGTTTCAAAGGTTAGCGCAGATAGGATACTTTAGAGGTTGAAAAAACTCTCAGCTACCCACACTTAGCACTCAAATGACTGTAAGGGCAATACGTGTAGGTAATTGGCCAAGCGTGATGTCAAGATAGCTGGGCACACAAAAACTGGCCAATATCCAGCAATCTTAACCGCATAAGCTTGGTCAATAATGGATCATTATATGGCGTAAGGAACACCACTACCTCTCGGGAGCCATCTTGGTTATTTCAGTTTCATAGTGGCAGTTAATATGTGCTTTTCAATCAATCTGTCTTGTTAGGTACCAGGACGAGAACACTCAAGCTTTCTTTATGGTAGTGTCGTGCAATCGATGGTTGGCTATTCGCATCGATCTTCTTTGTAGTGTGTTTGTTATCACAGTGGCAGTGACTGCTATTTTCATCGGGGAAAATTCTGGTAAGTATACACCTAGCGTATTCTAATTTCAGTCTTACTTTTCGGCAATTTGGGCGACAATTCTATGAGACCTTTTTTTGTTAGATATCACGGTGGCGTAAGCGTGAATCACGATTAAGCAACTAGTATCTTTGGTATGCCTACCTGCTGGCCGTCTAATCGTCGCTTAAATCCATCTTATATGTACGTTGAGGGCATTGCGGTGAGGAACGATTTAACAAGAAAGGGGTGGAACTATTCTCCCTCAAAACAGAGTAGTTCAGAGAACGAGAAATCCTGTGAGAGCACGAGCCGCAGGTTGATGCTTCAACAGCTTAGTCGAGTTCTCCCCAACTTTTACGAATGTTTCTATTACTGAATGGAAACACGGAGAAAATGTTTTTCATTTCGTTTGCAGAACACTGTAAGGAAAAGAGAGGAGAATCACTTGTTTATTTCGATCATAACAATGATCGAAGAACAGAAGAACAGATCTCATGGCGCGCTTTCTGACATGCTTTAGTGTCTTTCACTGTCTGTTGCAGCTGACCCCTTACTCAGCGACACTAGCTCATCCCCTCTTTGAGAGATTCCAATTTTCTGTTAAAGTTATGTTACCGAAGGACATTTTTTGTTAACGAACAGAAATACGTAACACTTAAGCTTGCAAACTGAAGTGCGTCGTACTCACCTAGGCAGGTTGGAATGTGTATATTGACCTTCCCGCTAACGTTTCTCCTCAGTCTTAGCTGGCCTCGCTCTGACGTACGCACTGCAAACACTGGACGAAAGTCAATATGGCGTCAGAGTGGCTGCACAGGTGGAGAACTTGATGACGTCAGTCGAGCGAGTAATTGCTTACACAAAAATAGATTCCGAGCTTGGCTACAGCACTCCAGCCCTTCCTCCTGGGTCTTGGCCCAGCGAAGGCCGCTTAGACCTACAGAATCTCTCTCTGGTTTACTTTGAAGGAGGACCACGCATCTTGAAGGACGTAAACGTTTGTATTTCTAGTAAGGAGAAGGTAGGGGTTGTTGGTCGCACCGGTGCTGGAAAGTCGTCTCTAGTATCTGCACTGTTCCGTATGCCAGATCCACTGGGAAAGGTGGGTAAAACGGAGGTGTGTGAATATTCAAATTAAATGGAAAACAATGTTCAAGGGTCCATGTGTTTCCGAGTAATAACTTTTCATATTTGTTCAGTCCTGTATTTGTAGTCCGAATCTGTGCGTTGCGTCTTCAAAAGCGACGTGAGCTAAATGATTTTCTGTTCTCTATTAGGAACGATTAGATTAACATTTTGAGTTCTTTGGATGAGTGTAATCTGTAACTCTTTTTAGAACCGGCCAAACCATATTCCTCTCTCTTCAGGTGTTAATTGACGGTGTTGATATTGAGTCTATCAATCTCCAAGAGGCCCGCAAGTCCATGGCTGTTATAACCCAAGATACGGTGCTATTCGGAGGTACATTGAGAAGGAACATGGACCCATTCTCACAACACACAGACCAAGAACTCTGGACAGCTCTGGGGGAGGTGCAGCTGAAGACCCTTGTAGAAGGTTTGCCAGGACAGCTACAGTTCAAATTGAGAGAGTGTGGAACAAACTTAAGCGTTGGTGAGAGGCAGTTGGTGTGCTTGGCTCGTGCATTGGTCCAGAAGAGCAAGATCATCATCATGGATGAAGCCACCGCTAACGTGGATTTCAAGACTGACCGTCTGATTCAAGAAGTTATTCGTGACAAGTTTAAAGATTCTACGGTGCTCAGCATTGCTCATCGGCTGAACACCATCATGGATTATGACAGGGTACTGGTTCTTAGTGGCGGACGAGTGGCAGAATTTGATGAACCTGAAGTGTTGATAAGAAATGGTGGACTATTTTCTGAAATGGTGAAAAGCCAGAACCAAAGTGAGAAGTGTTGAAACTGGCTCATTTGGTGAAGCAAATAACAAACTCGTCATGNAAACACAAGCTAGGCAACCGAACA